GGTGTCACTTCTATTGCATTGTCACTCTCACTCTTTGCCTCACTCATTTGTCTTTGACAAGGGAGATCCTGCTGTAGCTTTGACCACAAGATTTCTAAACCACTGTCAAAGAGAGGCTGTAAAGAAACTGAATGGAGCTTGAAGCAAGACATCCAGAGCTGCTGATCTCTCACATGTGCTGTAACTTAATAGCTCAATGTGAGGGGTGTGGTGAAGCCAGACAGTTGTATAATTTGGGGACCACATGGCTGCATCGTATCCTTCTGTGGGGAGTGAAAGTAATACCAGGACAGAAAATGAGGCTATGGGGGAAGGAAACATGTCCCTCCTTTTTCTGGGACTGGGGTCACTACTGCTTGCCTATGTACAAGGCATAGACATGGTAGGTACTCCTGGTGTTCAAGATAGAATGGGAAGAAGCAGATTCACCAAAGAGGGGAGCAGCCCAGGAGACCCTGCCCAAGTCTGGTTGTAAACTTTCCTTTCTGTTTTAAGGCACTCCACTAGAAGTTAAAGTCTGGGCATAAGCACCAACACGGCTGAAGCCTCAAATATTGTTCTCTCTGCTATCCTGAAACCAGCCTAGAATGAGACTAATAGAATAAAAGTGGTAAACACACACGACAGAGAGAACAGAGGTTGATATAACAGTGATAAGAGCTAGCAATAAATCTTTGAAAATGAAAAACAGGTCGGGGAATGCAAAGTGACCTAACAGAGTGGAGAAAGCTGAAACCCAATATCTTCAGAGCTGCACTGATAAGAAACAAGACAATTCACTCCTGGGGACCAGGAATGCTAAAGATTGTAGGCAGAAGGTGGGCTGGAAAGTAAGGTAAGGCATGAGAGACTGAAGACAAGATTGGCCGACACTTTACATATGGAGCAGAGGGACTAGTCCCCATTCAAGCAAAGCAACAGCCCTTCCTACACCCCTGCAAGAGATGAGAGATTCATTCCCTGCAGAAATTGTACCAGAAAGATCCTGGCTCAGGGACAGTAGGCACAGACAAAGGCAGGAGTGAAGTACAGCAGGCATGCCAAAGAGTGAGTCATCTTCACCCATCCAGACCTGGCTGATGGTCTGCCCATCAAGGCAGAAGATTGAGAAGCTTCTCTACAGAAAAAAGAAAACTACAAATTTGGAGATCCCTCAATATTATAGTTGGCTTGACACACACACAATTTCATTGCTCACTTTTAAGCCAGTCAGAAATGAGGAGACATTTGAGGAAACCTTCTAACTCTAACGAGAAGACGGAAACTCACAAAAAAGACAGCACCGCTCACACACAGTGAAAAGAAGCAATATCTCAAAGTAAAAGATACAAGGCAGGAAGCAAAACAAACAAACAAAAAAACCCCAAAAAACAAAACAATTAAAATTATCTGTATAAAAATAGAAAATATTAAATTCATGAAATAAACATGATGCCATTCTTAAAAGAATAGTTCAACAATATGGAAAAAATATATATGATAGATGAAGGTTTAAAAATTTCGAAAGGTTGAGAAGGTAAAGTTAAGGCATCCACATAATAAGATAAAAAGACAAAGAGATAAACAATAGGAGAGAATAAAAATCAGTTATCCTCAATGTTGACTGAATTTGCTAATCTAGAGTGATATCATTTCCAGTACCCCGCCTTTTTTCAGCTGCCTTGGATTTTGGGAGTCCCGGCATAATGGGAAAGAAAAACAAATACGCATCAAACCGGCAGCATCTTGAGATCACTTGGCCACATGGAGATAAGCTGCTCAAAAGCTACTTTCCAGCTTACAATACGTACCGTCCTCAAGCAGCCCTTCTGTGAGCACAGCATCGCGTGGCTTCTCTCACATGCAGCCCCTTCTAAACAAAACACAATCACCACTCACCTTCAGGGAACATTTTTCGGACAATTGGGACACAATAGCTTGCCAGTGAACTCCTTCATGTGCTTTGCCTTCCATCCTGTCCTTCTGAACTCTTGGAATTTACGATTCTCATTATCCTGCATTAAGGAGCTAAACTTCCTAGCCATCTTAGCACTTAGATATTTCTCCCTTTGTTAGAAACAGAATTATGGAGAGACTACATACATACAGCATCTTTCTGAAGAGAGCTAGACATACACACTTTCAAAGGTTGACCATTTGATGCCTTTGTTATATTAATTATTTTTCCCTCTGATTATACATTCTTCTTTTAAATGCATCATTCATTATTATAGATTAACTACAGTCAAGCAAATCTTAGGACAATATAACTCACAGAGGTTACCTCTATTTCCCTTATTTCCAAATTGTTGAAGAAGCCATCTACATATATAAATGGAAAGTCTATTTAATATATATAGGATATATATGCTAGATATATAATACACTATGTATATAATACATATGCTATATAGTAATATATGCTAAATTATTCTTTAATTAGAAATACTAATTATGATTTCTCTAAAGAGGTTTTATTAAATGTATCTTGTCATCACTCAAAAAATTCCAAGGGGCCAGCCCAGTGGGATAGTGGTTAAGTTTGTGCACTCTGCTTCAGCAGCTCAGGGTTCACAGGTTCAGATCCTAGGCATGGGCCTACACATTATTCACCAAGCCATGCTATGGCAGTGTCCCACATACAAAGTAGAGGAAGATTGGCACAGATGTTAGTTCAGGGACAATCTTCCTCACCCCCCCAAAAAAAACCCAAAATAAAAATAACATGATTTGATATAATAATTTTAAGCTAAAGGCATTTAGAATTTTCAACTAAAAAAAGTTTTAATTTTCGCTTGTGCAAGGAAGGAAAGCCATCCAGGAATACTTGTATATCAGGAGGGTAGTGGGAGTCTTATTTTTCTTTTCTTAAATTGTAATATTGAGTCTGTTGATTTATCCATGGCATTAGATTTGCAAAGTGTAAGACTTTTATTTTAATCAACTGAACATAATCCTCTAGTTAAGTAAATTATTTTAAATATTGAAGCTCACACTATAAACAAGATTTACTTAGTCTCAACATGCTTATCTTAAAAATCCAAGCCTAATCTTCATGCTGCTAAACTCTGCAATACACTTTCTTTGACTTGAGAGAAACTTGAGAAAATTTCATAACTTGTTTTTTCTTCCCAGTTCATTTCTGCGCCTTATTTAACAACTCCTTTGAAAACCAGAATCTTGGCATTGTTCTTTGTATTTCTGAAAAGAATTTTCCCTCCCACAGTTGTTCTTTGGTTAGAAATGCTGATTATGATTTCTCTAAAGAGGTTTTATTAAATGTATCTTTTCATAGCTTTTAAAAGAGTCCAAAATAAAAATAACATGATTTGATACAATAATTTTAAAACAAGGGCATTTAAAAAGTTTTACTCGTGGGACAGAGGAAGGCCATTTTTCTTTTAAAGATTTTTAGACATTTACCAAGAATATTATCGTTTTCCTCTTGGAAGCCATGGATCACAGACAAGCCCAATTTCCCTTGAACCTCTCTGTCTACCAAGCACTCATCTGCCTGATTTCTTATTTACTTTGTCCACTGTGCAGACTGAAATAATCCTCTCTACTTAGAGAGCAGGACAAGTTTTATTATCAACTAAAAACCCAGAACTATCTTCTCTAGGACTCTACCCAGTTTTGCAAGAGCTTATCCATTGAGGCGCCAGGATGTAAAGTCTGTTAGCCAACTTATAGCCTATAGCTCTGTTTCGAAAGGATCTTTTCGATCTTTTGACTGGAAATGTTAACACTTTGAAATACATGTAGTTACACTCATCTACATGGTTGTATTCACATGAAACTGGACAGAACCTAAATGTCCAGCAATAGAGAACTGCTTAGATAAAGTGTGTTACATTCATACATCATGAGCCATTATCAGCCATTAAAATAATGCCAAGCATGAATATTAAATGATGGGGAAAGATGTTTAGAATATGGAATTAAATTCTAAAATAATGCAAGGACTAAAACTGTGCAAAAGGATCCCATTTCCGTGTAAAGTGACATGAATGTGTATGCACAGTACGTATGACAGAAAAAAATAAGGGATTAGGCACAAAAAAAATTAAGTGATGAAGGAAAATTTTCTTTTCTTCTTCCTATATGACTGACGTGTTTCCTAATATTTTGTAATGTGCATGAATTACTTTCTAATAAGATTGAAAAACAATTTATAACCAAGAGATCCTGTATATCTTCATTGGAAGTTTGCTATTTGTATAGCCTCTGGACAAAAATGGAGAGGTTTCTGTGTCGAGAGTGTGATGAAGTCCTGCCTAAAAATAGCAGGAGTGAGAGGCGGACTCTTGCAGATCCTGAAGGGACAGCTTCAACCCACACAGATCTCATCTTGCTCTGAATTTCCAAGCCGAGAAGAGTTCAACCATGCCCTTTGGCAAGCATTCAGTCTGTTGTTCTTTCCATCTGTTACAATTGCCGTCTCACTTTCAGTTGGGGGAACCACTAACTTGAATTATATCCAAACAGAAAAAAGGATACTGGAAGTAGAGAGAAGAGCTCCACTGCTACAAATTGGCTCAGCTATTCTCCATTGGTAGAACCACTTTATCCCTGGCAAAAGATGCAAAGTGGTTCCTCCCTCATGCCAGCTCTCTTGTCCCTAAGCCCTCATAAGGCTTTATAATGCCGCATGTGGCAGTGTTGGGATTCAAATGTGACCTTTCAAAACTTCACCAGTGTCCAAGTGTCCCAGTCCAAAACTCCAAGCCTCCTAGTGCCACCCTCTGCTCTTGTTAGAGTCACCTCAATGCCAGACAAGTGCCCCTTACTACACCTGTTTATATCATTGCACTCAGGTGTTTGTAACCTCCTTCGAGTATGTGTCTGATGCACGTTAGTATTCCCAGTGATGCTCTGCCAAGTACTTCACTCATCAGAGATGTTCAGTAATTCTGTGTTAGAGAGAGTCTAGATAAACAGACATGGAAAATGGATACTGATTCAGTATATGCTGGTATAAGCCTTCTCCTAGGCTAAAAGAATATTTATTTGTTTTTAAGGATTTGAAGTCGCCCAATAAATGATATCCCTTTCTCCAACACACCTTGGGACCCATTGAAGGAAGTCAAGAAAATGGAAGTAAAGACATGTTGGAGGACCTGGATGGCCATAAGGGACATCTTTCTTTTTTTTAAAGATTGGCACCTGAGCTAACATCTGTTGCCAATCTACACTTTTTTTTGTTTATTTTATTTTGTTTTGTTTTCTTCTTATTCTCCCCAAAGCCCCCCAGCACATAGTTGTATATCCTAGTTGTACGTCCTTCTGATTGAGCTATGTGGGACGCCACCTCAGCATGTCTTGATGAGCAGTGCTAGGTTCACGCCCAGGATCCGAGCTGGCAAAACCCTGGGCTGCCAAAGTGCAGCACGCAAACTAAACCTTTTGGTCATGGGGCTGGCTCCAGGATGTCTTAATAATGCACTTCAGAGCCAGGCAGACTTACCACAGGCCCAATGAGGCAGCCACACCTAAGGGAAACCTGAAGGCTTCAATAAACCAGTTCTACTTGGAGAGGACTTTATGCTGAAGTCCTGTAAGTCAATGATTCTCAAACTTCACTTTACTTAAACCACCTGGAGAGCTTGTTTAACAATCAAATTGTTAGAGGCTGGCCCTGTGGCCCTGTGCTCTGCGCTTCAGCGGTCCAGGGTTTCACTGGTTCAGATCCTGGGCGCGGACATGGCACCACTCATAAGGTCACGCTGAGGCAGCGTCCCACGTGCCACAACTAGAAGGACCCACAACTAAAAATATACAACTATGTACTGGGGGTCTTTGGGGAGAAGGAAAAATAAAATCTTTAAAAAAAATCAAATTGTTCAGTGATTCTGATTCAGTGGTCTGGATAGATCCACCTATCTGTATATTTTGAGATATGGCTCTGCATTCTGTCAGACAACAGACTTATTATAATAAGGTACCAAACACACTACAGCTGAATAAATAATATTCTCTTTCTTCATGTAGTTAGGTTGCTGCTTCTAAGAGCAAGAGCATACACAAAATTCAATAAGCAATTTTCAAAAATAAACTAATTATTACTAGTTGGCAGAGATGAATCTGTAGTCAGCTAGTCAAGTTCATACTGCTTCTCAAGGGGTGTTACTATGCCAAGTGGCAGACCATACTACTTGGCTGAAAAAAGACAGCGTCTGCATCAGGACGTCCTGGGGGTGCAGATGTGTGCTTTGGCTTGAGAAACACTGAACCACGTCAGATGCTTTTCTGTTGTGTGGCCATAGTAAGAATACTGTAAGCCATGTGAATCTGACTGGGCTGTTTTTCTTTAGAAAATTGATTTTTCAACCTGAAATATTAGCCATTTTATTTAGGAAACGTTAGTTACATGAAAGTAAAGTCTTAACTTCTTCATGTTTGTGAAGTGGAAAGGTTGATTTTTAAAACCACTTCTTCCATTCCCCCTATATACATGGAAATACCATGGAAAAGAGCTGAGTGGTGACATGGACTAAACTGAGAGTCACTGATGAACGGCAGTGAAGAATTCTCCCAGACTCACCTCCCAGAGGACGGGGGGGATGCTGGTGATGGTGCAATTTTAATGTTATTGCCACCCCCAGTCCTTCCAGCTCCTTCTCTCTCCCTACCTGCCACTGAGAAAGAGTTACTGGGACATGAAGACTAATAATCAAAATGAAAACTGTTCTTTGTTAAAAGTGAAATGTTTTAAACGAAAGATAAAGTCTTGTTATTATAAGAAACATATATTTTAGCAAGCAAAAGCAGGAAACTAACACTTATTGTACCAAATTCCTACTTTGTGCCAGACGTGATTATGATGCATTGAAGAAAACGAGCAGTTAAATATCCCAGGTATTCATTGGGACAATCAATTATACTGATTATAACAATGTAGCAATTTGCTGATTCTTTTTTCCATAGACATTAGTCATGCCATAGTGGCTAATCTTTAAATTAGCTGGCAAATGGTTTTCTTCATAATTGTTCCCATTAAAGATAAAATGCTGGCTAATTTCAATAGCAGGAAAGAGCAATTAGAAAATTAAAGAATCTTTCTCTTCATACTTCCATTTCAAAAACTTTATGTTAGTTTAAGTAACATTCAATGCTTTGATCAGAGCTATTAGCAGATGGCTCTATTTATGAAAGACAAGAGTACATCTAAAATGCCAGCACATTTGTGAAATCCAAGTACAAGTTGCATTAATTAATACCTATTAATAAGGTATAAAGTTTCAGTTAAATAGTTATTTAATCTGTACAAAAATGATTATTAATTTAGTCCTTGTCAAGGCTCTTTTGGTTATGGTAGCAGAAACTCATTCCAACTAGAAGAGATAAAAAAGAGGAGTTTTTTGAGAGAGAACAGGGTTGCAATTCCCTACTGATCCCTGTATGGCTGGTTTTCTCTGCTACTATGTATGCTTGGGCAGCACCCTGCAGCTCCTTCCTGTTCACAACATGCCCTCTGAGTTTTAACAACGACTTCAAGTTGTAACATTTCTGCATCATAAGTTTGTTTTGATAGGAATGAGGAGCTCATAAGTCTACCTTGAGTCAACTGTCTGCTTTATAATCCAAGCAGAACTTGATTAAACAGGGCTATACTTTCTCTGGAAAGAGAAGTGGACACAGTGGTGAGATTCGAGCAGTTACCAGAGTTGTCACTAACTGGTACCTGTCGCCATGTGCCATTCATTTAGCCTCATTGATTCACCATCATCTCACCTGCAGAATCAACAAGTTAGATTAGGTCATTTCTAAAAGTCCCTTTGAATCAGTATCATAAGCACTCACAACAATCATTTATCTTAAGAGAAGTCTTCCAGGCCAATGATAAAGATCATTATATGTGCATATTACCAGATGTCAATGAAGGCAAACTCAATTGCTAGCTAGAAAAAAAATCTGAGAAAAAAACTGAAGGGTAATTATAATCATAAAGACCTATTTTATTATAACAAAATGTTTCAATTATTTTTCTATTGAAGGAAAAATCATATTAGCTAGCATCTATTGCACCCTAACAATAACCAGGCACTATATTGAATACTTTAAATGCCTTAACAAATTTAATTTTCACATTTATATAAGTTTGAGATCAATACCCTCATTTGGAGATAAAGAAATTGTAAAATTGGGTTAAATAACCCACTCATAGTCAAATAAGCCCTGAAATAACACATTTGAGAATTTATTCTCATTATGAAAGTTTTGTCACACGATGCTCGTCTGCTGGACTTTCATTTGACATGAGTATGCTTCTATCCAGAACTTGTGGGGGATTCTGGGTGAGGGAGACGCAGATTTGATTTCAAACTGATTCTCTTATTCTGTTACAATTATTCTAACCATTCTAACCATCTACCACCCACTCGTGGATGACTCTTGATGTCATCCACCGAGATGACCCATCACTACCATCTCAGGGAATGCAGAGAAGAGGAAGAAAGTCAAAAGGAAATGTAAAGGTATGCTGAGATGTTTTTGGTTTCTGAGACACCAAGGGACAGGTGACAACCTTCAAAAGAGTCAGACAATGCATTTTACTTCTTGCATCCTCATCATCTTATTCCACACCCCTTTATAAAATTATGGATACTGGTATATTAAATACCTAAACACAACGAGTGATTTTAATTCAGACTGATCCCAGGAGAGCCTGTCTAGCCAGGCAAAGAAAAAGTAGCACAGAATCTTGAATACCCTCCAAGTAGATAACCAGCACTTGAATTAATGAAAGTTGACATGATGCTCACTGGGTTTATATTTTTAATTATTACTAATCATGCAGGGGAAAATTCTCAATTAAATATCCCAAATATTCATAGAACACTAACTACTGATATGTAATGCACATTATATACGCACATCTAATACCATCTTATATGGTAACATGGATTAAAAATTTCTCTCTAATTGAACATAGCTTATAAGACTGAGAACACAAATAAGTGTGAGTTCCTAGAGAAGCAGACATTACGATTGAAAAGGACAGGAAGTAGACTTAAAGAATGCAAAACTAGAAGACTGATGACTGCATTACAACTAGCCAGCCAGGGGGACAGCCCAGCCTCCCCAGGCATCTGCAGCAAAAGCAACCCTGACACAACAGAAGGACACAAGTAGCCCACACAAGGGACACTCCTGGAACATTTGGAACTGGTAACAAGAGGGAAGCACACCTCAGGGCCTCATAAGCCATCTCTTACATAAGGCTACCTCTCCAAGATCAGGAGATGTAGCTGACCTATCTCATACATAGATATAAGCACAGAGGAGGTGGTGAAATGAGGAGACAAAGGAACACATTCCAAGATAGGGAATCGGACAAAACCCAAGAAAAAGAACTAAACAAAACATAGATAAACAATCTACCTGACAAAGAGTACAAACTAAGAGTCATAAGGATGCTCACTGATCTTGGGAGAACTTCAAAAAAGAACTGGAAAATATAAAAAAGAACCAATCAGAAATGAAGAATACAACACAGGAAATGAAAAATTCACTACAGGGACTCAAAAGCAGAGTAGATGATACAGAAAAATGGATCAGCAAGCTGGATGAAAGACTAGAGGCAATCACTCAAGCTGAACAGATAAAAGAAAAAAGAATTAAAAAGAATAAGGATAGTCTAAGGAACTTCTGGGACAACATCAAGGGCACTAACATCTGTGTTATAGCTCTCCCAGAAGGAGAAGAGAGAGACAAAGGGGCAGAGAATCTATTTGAAGAAATAATAGCTAAAAACTTTCCTAACCAAAGTAAAGAAACAAACAACCAGGTACAGGAAACACAGAGAGCGCCAAAGAAGATAAAACCAAATAGGCCCACATCAAGACACATTAAAATTAAAATGTCCAAAATTAAAGATAAAGAGAGAATCCTAAAAGCTGCAAGAGAAAGGCAACAAGTGACATACAAAGGAAACCAGGTTGTCAGCTGACTTCTCAGCAGAAACTTTACAGGCTAGAAGGGAGGGGTACGATATATTTAAAGTGCTAAAAGGAAAAAACCTGCAGCCAAGAATACTCTTCCTGGCAAAGCTATCATTCAGAATGGAAGGAGAGATAGAGTTTCCCAGACAAGCAAAAATTAAAGGAGTTTATCACCAAGAAACCAGCCTTACAGGCAATGCTAAAGGGACATATTTAAGTGGAAAAGGTAAGACCACAAATAGGAATAAGAAACTTATTTTTTAAAAAAACAATAACTCACTGGTAAAGGAAAATATACAGCAAAGGTAG